ATGAATAACGACGTAATAGCAACAATCTTTTTTATGAGATGGGTAAAAAGCGGCACGTTGGTCAATCCCTTTTTCCTTGCTATAAGATACCGTACGCACTTCCACCATGCTACATGATGCTGTATGATGCTTAAGTGTTTTGAAAGCAGAATTTAAAGTAAAGCTTACATATATGTTGTTAAAAATCTCAGTACCAACTCATTTTAATTTAATAAGCAACACATATGCATCTATTACACAAAAATAATCAGTGATTTTTTATACGAGAGTCGCTAGCGCCTAAAAACGAGCGCAAAAGCTTACTTTCATTGAACCTATGACTAAAAGTGGGTTCAGATCTATCCTTTTGAAATCTTCCAGAGAGCTCTACGCTGCCGTACCAGGCATCAGAAAATCGCTTTTGGGTCAAAACGCGAAGCAGTTTGGTGAACGATTTCATCATCTTCAAAAGAGGATTTCGCGGCATTCTTCTCTGGCAAGTCTAGAGGGAACGGAGGTGGACGATGATGAGAAATGTAAAATTTTTTACCTCGAACTTTTTTTATAGGAAAAATAGTCGTCTTAAAGTTGGAAACTTCAATTAAAAATGAAGCATTTTAAGCTGAATCTACAACTGCACCATCCGCTACTCGATCGCAACCTGGACAGCGATCTCGAGAACCTTCTGTCCATTCGGAAAGTGAAGACGAAGGCGAACCTCGTATTCCCATGGGGGGCATCGCTAACACACATTTTCAGGTATACTTTCGATATTTTGGGAAAAATTCATCTATTGTAATAGTACAGAAGTCTAGGCCTGCTTGAAAATTCTAAAATTTCATCTTACAGCAAAGAGTAATAAATGTATCAAATGCTCCACCGGTTTCTCTCAAAAGGGGCAAAACTGGCGACTGGAACATCAAACAGGGGTACTTTTTACCAGTACACAGTGGTATTTGACGTGCTATGCTTTGTTCTAACGACATTTCAGTTCGGGAGGACTGGTATCGTGTGTAGATCCAGTTATGACGAAGGATCACGAAAATATTTGGTTAGCGAATCTCGGAATGAACTTAAAGGATAGAAGAAAGTGAGTTCCTGGATTTGGCTTTGTTATTTGGTCGGAAATGTTCAAAAACTCATTTTAGGTCAATGTCTTCTGAAGAATCCGAGTACACTTCCATGGCACCCTCCACAAATTCTCTCGGTTTACCACTTATCAAGCAAGCAATGGCAGAGGTACGTTACCTTAACCTGAACCATACGAATAAGTGAAAATAGCTAACTTCCTGACCTTAGGTATTCTTCCATGTGCTGGCCGACGACGATAAGCCTGAAAATGAGTTTAATCCTGAGCAGAAGAAAGCCAGGTACGATGCTGTTTCTAAACCTTTCATCGTCCAACCTCCTTTATCCCAATTTGTGAATTTTCAGAGAAGAAATGTCACTACTTGGTGTGCTAAACAATTATAACAGAGGAAATTACAAATTAAATCCAGTGGTCGTTCAAGAAGAAGACTATAATGTCTACTATGGTGGTATAAGTAATGGTCTATTATGGCCAGCTATGCATAATTTACCTGAATACATCGTGCAGGACTATGATTCACCGAAGGTTTGACTTTCTAAAGATTTTC